CCCTTTCCATTCAATATTAATTTCTGGTAACAGATAAAGCACAATAAAATAGATACGCTTTCCTACATTCTAAAAGAAATGACCTGCATGGATTCTTAGAAAGTCAATGTGCCATATATATAGCTATTCATGAAGACATGGCCACAAATTCATATTAATATTATCAGGATATCTTTATACCTTTATATCTGTTTCCTCTGGCCAACCAGTATTTCTTTTTTTAAATGAGACTGTGTTCTCATGAGCTCCTCCAACATAAACCTGTGGGTTTTATTTAATTCCATAGTTGGCTCCCTTTACTATGAAATTTATAAGATTCCATAGGTTTGGATATCAGCTTTCTTCAAAGAATTCAAGTTCTTTGCATTTTATCTTTCACATACATTTTAACTTTGTGAAAGTAAACTAGTTAAATTATCAAACTTTTATAGAATATATCAATGCCTTCTTCAAGTTCAGAGTGGCATTAACTCCAGGAAATTGAATGCCACTTTCATAAATCTCAACCCATTGCCATTTAGCCATTATTTATCTATCAGCAAGCAAAATAAATGATGATCCCACCTCATGAAAATTCTCTCAAAACCCAAGTTCCCAGCACTACCTGGATGACAAACAACCAAGATTGCAGAAGCCACACAATCTGGATCGATGGGCACTGCTATTCCTCTACTACCTGTTCACAGGGTAGATACAAAGGAAGGCTATCCAGTGTTTAACACTTTCACAGTTTCAAGAGAGTTTTATGTCTCTTCTCATTTATTATCAGTGATAGGGCTATGTTATATTCATCTGAATTACAGTGACTCATTAAGAGGATTAAACATAAAACTCATGGAGAGATGAAAATATATTATCAAGCAAGAACCTCAGCAAAATGTATAGTTATTATCAATTTGAAAGTCAAGAGGACACTTTTAAGTTAGGTTTAGATACTGGCATTCCATGACCCTTATTAAATGCTAAGCAAACAGTTCCCTTGGGGAGAGGGCTCTCTTTTCCACAGATACCTCATGATGCTGGGATGTCTAGCTAGCATTGTCTATGGATTTGACACTCAGTAAAACAAACTATTAGATTTTTAATACAGACTCAGCTGTGAGTCTGTGTTAAAATCTAATCACTAAGGTACAGGATAATAGAATGTTTTTATGTGAATTCTTGTGAACTCCATTCTTTTCCTACTCAAAGGTAATCAGAATTCTTGTTTCACTCTGAAATAAACAAATATGTCTGAGTTAACACCTAATGGGACCAACTATTCCAAAATCTAAGCATGCCGTGTTTTTTAATTAACTGTATTTCAAATCATATAAATTCATCTGCATTCATCAGGAAATTGCTACTGACTATGAACAAAATGGTAATTTGAATTTTTCAATATCAACCTACTGAGATTGGTTTTCACTCTATGGGATTTTTTTTTGTTAATCAAGTAAGAAAATAATAACAAGAATGCTCTCTCACTTTGCTGATTCTGCAAACTGATTTTCCTCCAGTAACTTCATTCTTATAGATGTATCTAAAGACTACGGGCCTGGACAGTGTGGCTCAGTGGTTGATTCTTGACCTATTAACCAGGCAGTCACGGTTCAATTCCTGGTCAAGGCATGTGCCCGGGTTGCAGGCTCAATCCCCAGTGTGGGGCATGCAAGAGGCAGCTGATCAATGATTCTCTCTGACCATTGATGTTTCTACCTCTCTCTCCCTCTTCCTTCCTCTCTGAAATCAATTAAAGTATATTTTTTTAAAAAGACTATGGATCTCGGCCTAAGGTAAGCATAGATGGAAGCACTGGCTTCTGTGATGCTTAAATATTTAATACAGCTACATGGAATGCACTACTTCCTTTAATGAACTTCATTACTTGGCAACTATTCCAATGTGAATGATTGCAGCATTTCTTAATATCTTGATTATCTTTTCCAGCTTCCAAATTTATATAGGAGCTGTCAGAACGTAGACTTACTGCTGCTGTTAAATCCTTTCTACAAGATATGATTCTACCTTAAGGATTTAATTTCCTCCCTCGAGATACTTATAGATATATAAAATGCCAAGTGACTATAATTGTCATGATTTGAGAGAAAAGTAATTAACACATTGTAAAATTTAAATAATACACTGGCCAGACTATTTTTAAAACTGAAATTCAGTTTTTATGTGTGTATCAGTGAGAGGAATTAGTTATTAGGACAAGGGCTAGAGTCGGCTACCTTTTTTGAGTCCTAAGACAACCTTGTTCAAGCTTTGATACAGTGAATTCTGTGAAAAAGAAACCCACCTAAATATCTATGCAGCTCTTCTTTTAAAAATAAAACACTGGCCCGGCTGGCATGGCTCAGTGGTTGAGCATCGACCTATGAACCAGGAGGTCACGATTTGATTCCCGGTAGGGGGTACATGCCCTGGTGGCTGGCTCGATCCCCAGTGGGACTGTTTCAATCTCATTATTTATAGCCTTTAAGATAGTAGTATGGCATTAAGTCATCTTCAGATAATCAGAATACCTCATAAATCAGGTGTCTACCTCTTTAACAAGAGAGGACAGCATGAGAGGATCCTTAATGAACCCGTTTTGAGATCAGTTCTTTTGCCATGACATTTAGAAAGTTCTAGTTATTTCCGGGGAAAGAAAGCTTCACACAAGAAGAGCCACTCAGATAAACCAAACTGATAAGACATGTCAATTTTTAGTGTACATATTTGTACAGCCTTCTGCCTAATATTTGGCCTATACAACACTGAGTTAACAATTTTAGATTATAAGTCTCTGGAATAAAATAGTGTTTATCTAGTCTTGTTTGGCAACGTATGTCATGCACATGAGCTGGCTTAATTAATACTTTTAAATGAGATTTGAGCTCGGCTGTTTTCGTAGACTAGCACTGAATGGAAGGAAAGCTACATTGAGAACTGAGAAACAGGAAGATGGTAAGGCAGGCTACAGTAGCTATTTCTCCTCTATCTTCTTATAACAGAACCTCTATTCTGTTTCCTGTTGGTAGGACTGTCTCCCTTCCTGAGTCATGGAGATTAGCTGACACTATCAATTAGTTAACTCAGTTTCCTGGACACAGTGGCTGGTTGAAGAGCAGATGTCTCAGATAGGGTCAATCGGGGTCTTTTTCTCAGAATTTGATAGACATAAGGAGAGATGGGATTTCTCTTTTTCTGGATTGTGAAGCTACCAATGGTTATCTTTTGATGCCACATGGAGACAGAGTTCTAGAGCAAGAAGCCAACACAAAAGAAAATAGAACCTTGAGAATAAAGATAGAGATAAGATGACTTAATTGAACCCCTGCACCTACCATGCCTGATTTATCCCTAGAGCTTTACAGTCAAGTGAGACAAACAAAAACATTTTTTTTTTTTACAAAATTTAAGTTCATCGGAGTAGGTTTTACTGCTTACAATGAATGTTCCTCACTCTTCTAATCTATGACCTTTAAGCAAGTCATTTTACTTTTTGGGCCTCTGATCCCTCATTTGTAAAATGAGGAGTTGGACTAAATCCTCTAATGTCCCATTTGGCTCTTAGAGTCTGTGCCTGAGTAACCTTCATTATTTAAAGAAAATATACGATTCTGTCATGTAAAAATTATAAGAATATAAATCTTTGGGTTTCTATTGCCTTAGGGCATGTTTCCTCTGTAAGTGAGAGGTAAAGTACAGAAAACGAAAAGGGAACTGAGACATTTAAGTTTAGAACAATAACCAGAGGGATACAACATGCATTTCTCAAAATATACCATTTAAAACTGCCAGAATAACAGCACATAATAAGTTTGAAAGGCCTTTTAACAAGAGTAAAGTAAGCTTTGTTTTAAAGGAAGGAGGCGCAATATAGTTCTTGAAAAAAATAATGCATTACCTACTTTCATTATTTAGTAGCGTCACGGAACAAGGTATTTTACTTGTGCTGTGATATGGTTTAAATGCCGTATCACAACACAAAAATTCCATTCCTAAGGTATCAGAAGTGAACAAGTGCTCTGTGAAGTGAAATGGGCTTTCTTATCATTGTGGGTCCTATTTTCATTGTTTATATGAAGCTTTAGAACTATGGAAGATGATTCTCCAGATGAGCTGGATATCCCAGAAGGAAGGATAAAAAAGAACCTGGGGAAATGGGGTTGAGTAATGACTTGATAAAAAAAAGATCTTTGATGAGGGTGCTTTGGATTAAAGACGGGGTATGACCCTCCCTTATCTCTAGCTCCTGAGGCATATCTGCACACCCAGACCCCACACCATAGTTTGAGAATCATTGGCTAAGGCAAAGAAGCCAGGCTTCTCTAGTCAAAGACAGCACCTTTCTTAGTAAAAGAAAATGTTGGCAACCTCATGTAATTCTTCAAAACTTCTGTTGGTTCTTTTCAATAAAATAATGCAAAAGTATGAGGCTCACTGAATGTGTAAATATCTCAGGCAAATTGACTGTCGCGGAGTTTGAAAAGATGAAAGGATACATGGTTTGTAAGATGTTTGCAGATGCTCAGGAAGTGTATTCTATGAGCGATGGATGCTCTAGAGTTTACACATCCTTAAGAATCAAGGTAAGGAACTAGGAAGGACCCCTAATGAAACTGGGCTCTTCTCTTTTCTTTTTCTTTCCTCTCTTCCTTTCCATCTTCCCCCTCAATCATTCATCTACTGACCCACAATATTTATTTGATAATTACTAAAGACCAGAAACTGAGCTGGGCACTGGGACTAAAGTCAAGGATAAGTGAGATATGACACTGCTCCCTCTAAGTTTACAGTTTTCTAGAAAAAAATATATAAGTAAAAATGTCTACAGAAACCCATGTGCTATAGAAGGAATACTCTTATGAAGTTGGAATGATGCAATGGAAGGAGCAATAGATAAGGACAAAAGTTCTACTACTGTTTTGCTGAGTGTTCTGGGATAACCCTCTGAGTTTTAGATGTCTCACTCATCAACTCTATAAACATAATATATTATTGTTCCTAGATTTGATCCCTACTCTGTTATTTGGCTACAAATATACTATTAGTATTTCCCAAACTGTGATAGAGATTGCTTCTTTTTAGTAATAGAACCTTCCTCCCCCAAAACTGAATTTTAATAAGGCACATATGCATGTCTACCCAGCTTAAGACTACATTTCCCAGCCTGCTTAAAATTTGTGGCCATAGTTGTGGCCATATGACAATGGAATGAATACAACGTCTGCATCACTTACACAAAAAAGAAATCATTTGTCTACCAATCTCCTTTTCTTTTCCCTGTGGCCTGAAATGTGAACCAGGCACTGGTGAATCAACCTTGACCAGTTAGACTCATATACAACACTATCAAGGTCAAAGATCAAAGGAAGCTATGTTCCTGGCCATTCACATGGAACAGAGCTTCCTACCTCACCTAGACTTTCTGCCCACCTTTGGACTTTAACAGGAAATGGAAATAAACTTCTCTCTTGTTTGAGCTCCATTATTTTCAGGTCTCTTTGTTACTGAAACTTAGCCAGGACCCAATTAATTTACAAACTCAAACATCTAGGGACCAGGAAGTCAACATAAATCAATGAATCATATAGGTGAGAACGGCTCAAACCTAGAAAACAAGTGACCTACCTAAAGGGGTCTAACTGCTGCCACATGGCAATGAGGCCTAGGGTTTCCAATTCTACTAATTTATCAAGAAATCTGGATTCTCAAGTCAAATCTTCTAACATTTTAAAATATTAGCAACTAATCCAAATGAAAAAACAAACAAACAAAGAACTGCAGGTTAAACAAAAATGCCTCTATATCGGACTCAATCCTATGCCTGCCAATTTGTAACCTGTTCTCAATTGTGACATAGTATTGAATGTAAGATGCACAAATACGCCATCATCTTAACAACTGCATTTTGGAATAACAACAGAATGCATTTACCACATAGGACATATACACTGACGGCCAAGCATCTTCCTATCAGAAACGTTTAATATAAAAATGTATATTTTTAGGATTAAAAAATTTTGACATGTTTTTAGGATACAATTCTAAATATGAAAAACATCCCGGTTGATGATGATGGAAGTGTAGTAAAATGAGCCAAAATTCCTCAATCACCCTCAACTCTGCAATAGGAAGCAGCTGGACATCTTATAAAGCCAATAGCTGCAACCCACACAGTAACTAGATTGCAGTGAACTCAAATCCCACACCCACATGATGATGCTATTAAGTGTGGCCTTTTATATCTTTTCCTTCATTTCAATATTGTGTAGCCACTCAAAAAGATACCTTACAGTGAATTTATTCCATGTTATTTGAACTAAGTTACACAAAATAAATGTTTAGCATAAACATATATAGCTAATAATTTTGACTAGAGGCTCATTTCAGCCACATCACTACACTGTGATCATCAAAGGTAAAGTTAACTTACTTCTGAGCTACAAAATAATTATGAAGACATTATATATAGAACCAACATCTTTCCAAAATATCTAATAATATGTCACATTGCCGAGTTGTTCCTTTACATCAATAAAAAAGAGCGCATAAACAGCCTGAGGAAGTAAGGCTGGGGGATGAGAAGAAGCACCCCAGAGCATCCATCAGTTCTATGTAGTATGACGCCCCTTGGCTGGCTGACCGATGGTCTGATCCCAGTGCCCTAGCTAGTCCACTGAAAGTCAAATCAGAAGGCTCTGGAAGGGTGCCACGGATGTTCTCATACCGGACCATGCTTCAGTCCTCATTGATATTGCCCTAGGCCAGTGGTCGGCAAACTGCGGCTCGCGAGCCACATGCGGCTCTTTGGCCCCTTGAGTGTGGCTCTTCCACAAAATACTGACTTCTGCGCATGGACCCCGAAGTTTCAGTCACACTGTATGTGTGTGACCGCACGTGGTATTTTGTGGAAGAGCCACACTCAAGGGGCCAAAGAGCCGCATGTGGCTCGCGAGCCGCAGTTTGCCGACCACTGCCTAGAGACCCTCGCTGATGTGTTCATTTTGCAAATGATCCAATTTATAGGGGAATTAAAGCATTTGAAATTGACTTTTCAAAATGGGTCATAGACAAATGCTGAAAATCAAGACACAAATAAGGAATTGCAAGTTTCTTTGTTTCTTAAAACACCTTCCTTCTGCTGAGAATATTCATTCTATCAAAGGGAGCTCATGATTGTGTCTGATTTTAAGAGTCTGTCCAGAGTGAAGAACACAAAGAACATACACTTGGCCTTAGTCTTTTTCATTATTTGTAAGTTTATACCAGATGATTCTGTAGATTTATTTTGTTAATTGCTTTGTGTGTGTGTGTGTTTTTATTTGTTTGTTTGTTTGTTTACCTCTTTATATAGTCCAGTGCATTCATAATAGTCCCTGGAGGGGAGGCCAAGTCGAGGTTGGTCAATCTATAAAAAAATACACAAAAGATGAATATAAACCATTCAGTGGATATAGAACAAGACCGCAGTGTTTTCGCTGTTTAGAAGGGTAACAATCACACACTGAGTGAACACATAATTAGGAAATGGTTTTCACACTATGTCAAAGTATTAAGCTGATGGCTGATAGATAATCTGGAAGATTGTGCTGCAGATAATTGAGGAAAAAGAAACAAAGAAAAACCTGAACAGAAAATATACTGGTAAGGATTTTAACAGAACAGAAGGTGCAGGTGGACAAAAACATGTCAGAATCTAGGAGAGAGGAGCTTCTAAATCACACATTTACAGGCCATTCTACTTCCTGAGATTCTAACATGTGTGCCTGGGGAACACTCTCTTCTACCCCAGCCCTTAAATGAGATGGAATAAAAATAAAAGGTGGGAAAGATAGGAAATCTCTACAGTAAGTCTAGAACATTTTTAGCTACTGTAATCTTGCCAGAGATTTTTTTTTTCTTTTTTTGAGATCCTATGGCGGCAGTAGTCGGCAAACTCATTAGTCAACAGAGCTAAATATCAACAGTACAACAATTGAAATTTCTTTTGAGAGTCAAATTTTTTAAACTTAAAGTATATAGGTAGGTACATTGTTACTAACTTAATTAGGGTACTCCTAAGGCTCAGGAAGAGCCACACTCAAGGGGCCAAAGAGCCGCATGTGGCTCGCGAGCCGCAGTTTGCCGACCATGGGTAGGGGAACGGAGGAGACACCTCCTTGGTTCTCTCCAAAGCTGCTCTGCTCTGGACGTCAGCAGACACTGCTGAGAGCTAAGTGTGTAAAAGACAAACTCAGGTGTGCTCTGTGGTGTCCAGTCCATCTTCATACCCTGTGAGAGCACTACCTGGACACACTTGCAGCTCCGTGAGAGAGCTTCCTATGCACTGCATGGTAAGGTGGGTACAGGGGAAGCTTTTGAGTGAAATGTCTTCAATGATCAACTAAACTAAGTTTGACATTATCAATCATGGATAAATATTTCTTGGTTTATTATTAATAATAAAATATTTTGAGCCACTGATAATTAAAAAAAAAAAGAAAAAAAGACAGATACAGGGCCCATTGAGAGCATTGATGATTTAAGTGAGAATCCTCGCAGGAAGAGCCAATTCAGCACAAAAGAAACATCACCCAAAGGGCTGGATGGAAAGAGCCAAAACATATCCAGAAGAAAGGCCCTGCTCCTTATCCAACCTTCTGATCCTCCTTTAAAAAAGCCCTCATGCCCAGCTGGTGTAGCTCAGCGGTTGAGCTTGAGCGTCGAACCAGGAACCAAGAGGCCACTGGTTTGATTCCCAGATGCACTTTGGGGGGCATGCAGGAGGCAGCTTATCGATGATGTTTCTCTCTCATTGATATTTCTTCTATCTCTCTCCCTTCCTCTGTCTTTAAAAAAAATCAATAAAATATATACTTTTTAAAATGTTCTTACAATGATCATGCAGGATACTGAGAGCCCAAAGAGAGAAGAGAGTCAGATTAAATATCTTTTGTGACTTTAACAAATAACCATGAATATTTATGCAATAGTGACATAGATATGATTCTGTGACCTGCAACTTTTGAGTTAGTTTATGTTATAGGAGACAAAATAAAAGCTTTATAAATTTTTTAGTCTGTTCCAAACACACTCATTATGCATAAATCCCATTTTAAGTGACACCTTAGATAAACCTAATTGAATGGCTTACATTTAAAAAAATAAAATAAAAATCCAGCCCTAGCTGGTTTGGCTCAGTGGATAGAGCATTGGCCTGTGGACTGAAGGGTCCCAGGTTTGATTCCAGTCAAGAGCACATGCCCAGGTTGTGGGCTTGATACCCAGTTGGGGGTGTGCAGGAGGCAGCAGATCAATGATTTTCTCTCTCGTCATTGATGTTTCTATCTCTCTCCCCCTCTCCCTTATTTTCTGAAATCAATAAAAATATATTTTATAAAAATCCAGAAGGAAAGGGGAGTGGGGAGTGGGGGCAGGTAGAGGAGGGTATGGGGGGATAAATGGTGATGGGAGGAGACTTGGGCTGGTGAGCACACAACACAATGTACAGAAGAGATATAAAATTGTACACCTGAAACCTGTATAATTTTATTAACCAATGTCACCCCAATAAATTCAATTTTTAAAAATCTAACAAAGCCATCTGGAAAGAACGGCATCTTATTTATCTTAATTGAGAAAAAAGTATAGACATTCTTTAGCGAGAACCACAATTGTGTTCAAAATCCCTTCTCTATGTTCTTTTTAAAAGCAATTAGGAAATCTGGTTTCCAGACCTGCAAAGCTATTGTAAACCAGATCACACTGGTGAACATACAGAGAAACCACGTGCTTTTGCTAAGTAGGAGGAGCCTAAAGATTTTCATTTCTTATTTATTTTATGAAAGGAGAAGTATTTTTAAAATGGAAGCAAAAAGGAGAGATGAACATCTATAACACAGCATGAAGAAAACATTTTCAAAATATACTTGGGGGATCCAGATATCAGGGATGGAGCACTAATGTATTACCTCCTTGCCCATGCAATTCAAATGAGAATGGGCGTTGTTTCTAAGTATTAATAACAGCAACATGTGTGGAAGTTTTATTACAATTTAAAGATAACTTTGGCTGACAGCCATGCAAACTTACATGAATTATATATTTCGAAGAGTTTTTATCATCCGTGCCAACAAAAAAATTAATAATGACTTTTTTCCCATATTTAGCATTCAGTTGTGCCATAGCCTTCTCAGCTGTCCAAGAAGTACCTAAAGCAATGAAAGGTGAAGTACATCTTTAGAAGCTTCAGTGCAGTAACATGATACACAGCATAATAATAACATAGATTTTTATTGGAAATGTTTTCAAACGAAGAAGGAACACTGCCTTACCATATACTTGCTCCCAGTCGTCTGTGGCTACTGGCCATTCATATATATCTGGTAACACTTTGAGTAGAGGTCCGCCACCTCTGCTATCAATAATAGCTTTAGAAAGCAATGAAAATAAATGTATTAAGAAGTCTGCATATTTTGACACACTCTTGATGAAATAGAGTGAGGAGCACTTACATTCATTTATGCACGATCTGTACAATGTTTTTGCTTTCTGCACTGCTTCTATATCATCAGATTTGGGTTCCTGAAGGACATCTGAAATGGGGCAGTTAATAAAATGCATGAATATAATCGCTCATTGGCAGCTGTAATGAACATTTTCAACACAGGTTCAGTAACAAACTTGCTCCTTTGTATGTATGTTCACTCCGTTCCCCTGCCAAAAACCCTACAGGGGAAAACCAGCCCCCTTTCCTAATCATTATTCCTAGTGCAGGACTGGGAGTTAGTTTCATTGGCCGAGTTACATGAAAGCGTTTTCAACTAGATTATCGTGTGTGTGTGTGTGTGTGTGTGTGTGTGTGTGTGTGTGTGTGTGTGAACAGTGATGTGTATTGCTCTGCCACAGAAAAGTTACTTTGGTTTCACACTGAAATAAAAAGATAATAATAATAATACAGAGGAATTTGGAATTTAATATGATAGTCCTCCTGAGGGCTGGAAACAATTCCGTTAGTGTGATTTTACTGTTCAGGCTCCCAATACATTGAACGAATTGTTCTGCTTGTAGGGATGTCAGAAAATAGCAAAACTCGTTCTACAAAGTAACTTCTAGAGGAGAACAAAGGATAGAGGATTAGTGGGGGACTAGATATGATTTTTTCAAATTCTCAGGGAGAGTGTGGTAAGCTGGGTCAGACGTTTTATAGTGACGTCAACACAGGGTCGGGGTGGGAAAACTAGGGAGTTGGTGGTTAATGGAAATCACTTAATTTCTTCTTCTGTATGATGGCATAAAGATGCCATCTCTAGAAATAATAGGGTTATTGTTTGTGTAGCTACAAATGAAAGCAGGAATACTAAGAGATGCCAACATATCCATTTCAGTGTCTACCACCCTCAGCATGACTAAGTGGTGGTTCCACAAAACTTGGAGGGATTACGACTTTAATACTGCGCATGTTCCCCATAAAGGGCAAGAGTTGTATCTTTAAATATGGATAAATTAAGAGATAAATTTTGGATGCACAGACACAAACTTCACTAACCTTTCAAAACGACTTCTAGTTCATCTCTTAAAATGTCAAAGTTGCTGTAGCGGGAGCTGGTCTCAGGAATGACGTGGCGTTTCAACCAGCCTCCACAGGCGTATTTGAAAAAGTCGGAACAAGGCTCGGTAGTGGGATCCATGTTCTGGATGAGTCGAGCAGCTGAAGGACCAGACAAGTGAGACAAAACAAAGGGTGTGTTCCTTTAGTTTGGAGGAGGGGGAAAGGTATGTTGCTTCCACCTTATGAGCAAGTCAACTGGCCTGACGCTCCTTTTTCTCAGATATAACTGTCAGTTCAGAGTGGAATGATGAACATTATCTATCGATAGTCCTCCTTTACCACAGTTGATTGGTTTTCTTCTTGAAAGGTCTGAGGCCTTCCATCCTACATCTCATCCCCTCTCTCAAATAACTTAGGTTCTTGCTAATTCCCATCTCAGATGAAGAACCACATATAGGTCAGCCTCAGCTGTCCTGGGCTTGGAGTTAATACAAGGTCAGTCTTCATCCTGACAATTTGAGCTGATGACTGCCTTCAAGGAGCTATGACTTTTGAATGTCTCTCAAACTCCAAGGGATGAGGGATTGTTAATGGGTTTGATCATTGTAGTCAAGATCTGAAGCTACATTTATTACTTCTTGAACCTTGCTTACACAATTTTTGCAATTCAAATTTGACATCACATTTGCATTTGTTTATGTAGAGTCTGTCATTAAGCTCATTAGTGTTTCTTATGTCCACTCTTTTATCTTTGAGCACTGCAATGAAGATGCAAATCAACCAACACTGCGTACTTACAATGTACAAAATACTGACTGTGCTAGGTGCTGCAATGGATAGAAAGATGCATAAAACATGAATTATTTCCACTGCAGGAAAGAATCATGGACAGGAGGCCCAATGCCCACAATCTCTACACCTGGAATAGTGAGAAAAACCTTCCCACTGCTCTCTGCATGTTCTTTCTTTCTCAGACAAGGTGAACTGTTTTGCAAGGGAAACAGGAGAGCAATTGAGAATTCATCTGTATCAAGAGAGTATAAGATCTCAGATGAGCTTCTGGAAATACTTCAGTGTCTGACTAAAATCATTTCATTAAAAACTTCACACAATTGCTGTGCTGTGAGGAATATTTCAACTTGGAATGGTAAGTCTGTTTTCCAGCTGAGCCTCGAACCCCCACTTCTCACCACCTTATGGACCCACTCACTGGCTTGGCTGCCATCTCAGGCTCCAACTGTCTGGGTTGCCTCCAAACCAGTTCTCCCTGGACTTTTAGTCTTTGATATATAGGACAATTGTTTTCACAGCCTCCCAGGTTTGAACCTTGGGTAAAAGTCTATTTCTCCCAGGACCTTGGACTTATCGGGAATAACTTTGTCTATTTTCTATATTCTTTCCATGATCAATGTCAACCTAGTTTATCTTCATTCTCTTCTGACTAAAGATCACCCAATTATTCACCTTCCTAGTACTATCTCCTTATATGTATACATTCCACAGTTTCACAGATTAAACTTTCCAAAAGATACCCTTTAGCACAGGCCACTCCCTTGCTCAAATGTCAGTGGCTTCACAGTAGGTTGGTTAAATTACAACTCCTTAATTTGGTCTCTAAATCTTTACTAGACCAATCAAATCTCCACTTTCCCCCATTTCCCTCTCTGCACTTTTATACAAACTCCTGCTCCAATCAGATGGGCTTGCTCCGTGTATCACAAATACCTGTGTTTCCCTACCCTGTGCCTTTGCTTCTCCCCTGACCCCACCCACTTTATCCTTTTAACTCCTCCCATTCTCTTCACATTCTATCCACTATCCAAGGTTCAGCTATGTCCTATCTCTTTCCTGAAGCTTCCATTATTCCAAACTTCAGGGAAGTTTTCTTTCTCTGAACTGAGAGCTCATGGCCTCAATCAGTCTTTTATGCTTAGATGAAGCTACATTGGGTTTCTCATGGTAGTTACCTATCTGTCCTCATAACCATTCTGATGATGAACCTAACCTCTTTGTATTCCCATCATCCAGTACCTCAGTAAAACATGTGCAAGTATGTTTGTGTGGCAATATTCCCGAATCATCTATGAGTCCTATAATTCCTTCCTCCTCCACATCCCCTCCCCGACTCTGCATGTCAGACCAGTTCTCATTTCACAAGCTCCAGAGTCCATCCCATCATTCCAATTCCCACCATTTCCATTCTCTTTCAGACCTCCCCCCCCCCGCTGCACTTTCACCCAAACTATGGCCCCAGGCTTCTCTCCATGCCACCCATTCTGTGTGCCAGTCAGATTAACTGTCATAACAATTCAGCATACCATTTTCCACTCCCACGGTCTCAATATAACCCTTTTGCATTCCTAATAAATTCCAGATCCCACAGCATATTCTGACCCTATTATATCCAATGAAGCTTCTCTCTCATTCTTTCCTCACATGAGCCAACTGCCTCAAATAAATGAATGTACTGAGTTTCTGCTGTGAAAGACCTTATAGTTTTCCTGTTTCCACACCTTTGACCATGTTGCCTCAAATCTACTAAAATATCCTTTCTCTATTTTCCCACATTTAGAAATTTCAGGCATTTTCAAGGCCCAGTTCAAATCCTCCTTCTTCATGAAAGATAAACTTACAAAGCTGGCATCATGTTAGTTATTTGTTGTTGGAAAATCCCTATCTCCTCCCCTGGACTGTGGGTTCTGGTAAAGGAGGAAATGCATATCCCAGTTCTCATGGAGCCTACCATGGTGCTCAATCCAGACTTGTCAGTTAAAACGTTAACTTGGAACCCCAGGTAAAGATTAAAAAATTAACCTAAAAGAAGTGGAGAGAAAAGTAATCCCCTTGAACTTGAAAGGAAATGAAGAAACGATGGCAGGGGAAACAAAAATATAGATCCTAAAAACATGGAAGATTATCATGTAAAGAGAAAAACAAAACAAAAAACTGAAGCCCAAAAGAAGTGCTAACTACGATGTTCTAAGCATACATTTTTAGCAATTTTATGTAACTCTTGTCTTTCAAAACACTTTTAAAAAATTAACCTGAATGTTGTAAAGGCTACTGCCATATGGGGAGCCCTTCTATTTTCTTTCCTTCTCTGGGGCAATGGATGGTTTATGTTCTAACACCAGAAAGAGCAGTAAACTCCCAGTAGGGAGAGCCGTGAACAAGCAATGAATGAGTAGAATGAGCATGTCTTATTGCCTCTTTGGAAATACCACATGCCCTTTTAAACACCGGGAACAAAAAGGAGGAGTGGTGGTTGCAGAGCTATTATGCTCATGAGTGCAAACCCACTGCCATGTGCATGCTTCCGTTACTTCCCTAATCTCCCACAAGGAACAATGACAACCCTTCTCTTAGGCTAAATTCCTCCCTCCATAACCCAGTACAGTTCAACTACTTACATCTGGACAACAAACCAAAGAAGCAGCATTCAGACAATTTGTGAGGGATATGCAGACAAGAGAGAGGAAGAGACAACTCTGCAAACTCCTTCCTGTGTCCCTTTTTAAATATCCCTTTGACCAGAGAACTCATCTGGGTATGGGCGCTTCCAATCACTTCAAAGAGAGCTCTCTTGAGTATTTTGGGGCCATGGGCCAAGGCAAGTCAAGGGCTAGCAATTTTATGCTGGGTCTTTGATCAACCTTCCTTTAATCTCTTATCGTGGGTCTGATTCTGGTTTTGCACCTTATCCTCCGGACCTCCTCTGTGCTGACTTTTCTTTGAAGTCAGCGGTAGACGTGTGGGTAGAAGGGCTGTAGGAAACAGACACACGACTGTCAAACTGGTTGTAATTGTTTTTATATTTTGCACTTTGTTTTGAATTACTCAACCTCTCTACAGAGCCACACCTGGGCTCTTCAGATGTTTCCTTATCTGTGGGTCTGTGACTTCTGAGTAAACAAATGTGGTTTAAAAACAAAATTATTCACCTTAATAAGTAGATATAAAAATGGATGTAGTAAAAGCAAATGTACTGATGTGGAGTGCTGTTGACCAGATGTTTGTAAGGCGAAGGAGAGAGTACTAGTATACTAGGATTTTTAAAAACCTGTATAAAAGCACAGAAAGTCTAGAGGGCATTTACAGCAGTTATATTCAGGTGGAGGGAATATGAGTGTGTTTAGTTTTGTGTTATTTGCTTATCTTTATTTTCTAATTTGTATTAGATGAACGTGTATTGCTTTCACAATAAGAAAAAAGCCTATTTTTAATTGAAGAAAATAGTCACATAAAGACAAGAAAAAGTAATCTTCTATTAATAATGAGCTTATTTCTTGTGAATGACAATTCTGAATTTTCTAGCCTGATAATAAATGACACACCATTATTTTCCAAACTAATCTTCTTGTAACATTCTCTCAACTTATTTGACTATAGGAATTTAAAAACAAGCTCAACTACCATCTGGGAAGTTATTAATTGCTGTATTCATTACCAAGGGTCTGTCGTGTGGGTATGGATTAGGGAAGTGTTTGGGGTGCTTACATCAGGCAGGCCTGCTTTGAATACCTGAGCATCACCACTCTTTAGTTCTACAGGAGTTCTCCCTTACCTGTGGTTGGCTTTCCATGGCGTCAGTTACATACAATTAACCACGGTCCAAAAGTATTAAGTAGAAAAGTCCAGAAATAAACAATTCATAAGTTTTAAGTTGCACGCTATTCTGAATAGCATGATGAAATCTCGCACTGCCATGGTCCATCTTGCCCAGATGTGAATCATCACTTGTCCGGCATATCTATGCTCTATATGCTCCCCACTTGTTAGTCTCTTAGTAGCTATCTCGGTTATCAGATTGACTGTCCAGGTATCTCAGAGCTTATGTTCAAGTAGCCCTATTTTACTGAATAATGGCCCCCAAGCACAAGAATAGTGATGCTAGGAATTCAGGTATGCTAAAGAGGAGCTGTAAAGTGCTTTCTGTAAGTAAAAAGGTATGATGTGTGTATGTATAGGAAAAACATTAGTATCTATAGGGTCTGATACTTATCTGCAATTTCAGGTAGCCATGGGAGTCTTGGAACATATCCCTCATGGATAAGGGTGGGTGACTGTACAAGATTAAGTAATTTTCCTCAAATCAAGCAACTAATAAATGATGGAGTCCCAGGACTTGCACTTAAGTATCTGTGGCTCTCAGCTCATCC